CCCCCCCCCCCTTCTCTCCGCATCGCTTTGGTTTGATAACTAGGAAAGCTCCAAAGGGCAGCATGTTAACGAAAGGAAAAAAAAAAAAAAAAGTCATCGTTGCTGACGCAGGGAGGACGGGAGCCAGACACCGTCCCCGGCAGGTCCCATCCATCACTTGGGAGCCAGCGAATCCCCCGGGACTCCCCCAAGACTCGCCCGGGGTCCCAGGGCAGGACGGAGAGGTCCGGGTTTCAGTCCCCCCCCGGAGTTGCCACCAGCTCAAAGGGGAGCGGCTGGTTTGGGGGCCAAGTCCCCCAGCCCCTGCAGTCCGGGCAGTGCAGGCTGGCATATATTTGAGCATCTGAGCAGAGATTCAATTATATGCACTACTTCATTTATTTAGCTGTCCAGTCCCACTGATCAGACTTGGAAATTAAGAGGCATGCGGTTAGAGGGATCCTGTCAAATCACATTTAGCCCAGCTCTTCCCTGCTTGGATTTTAAAATGCAGATTTTTTACATGACCTGCAGCTACAAAACAACTTTCTGCTACTCTTCCTAAAGAATAAAAAAATCCAGTGGAAATGGGTGAGGGTGAAACCAGTTCCTCGGCTCTATTTCCAGACTGAACTCTGCAGCTGTAGGTCTCCAGGCATTTTAAAGCCCTTGCCTTTTTGCAGGCCGTGCGAGGGTGCTGGGGCGGGAGCAGCTCATTGCATGGCAGGAGCCTCGGGGGAGCCGGAGGAAGGAGGACGGCAAAGGCGGTGTGGGATTTTGCAGTTATTTTTCTAGCTGAGGGCCAGCAGGATTTGCAAACCTCCTCCCCCAGTTTGGGACAGAGCTAAAAATGCCTCTCGCCACACCCTGTGCTCGCACGCACCCTCACGTGCGGCATCGCGGTGTGTGCGGGACCGATAAGGCCGTGCCGGGAAGCTTCGTGCGAGTCTGTGTGAAGCAATCCGGCCACCCTGTCCCTGTGGGGCCACCAGCCATCCCATCCCGCTGCCCTCTCAGCTCCAGCACCCCCTGGGATAAAAGCCCTGGGGAGAGCTACAGCAGGGAGGAAGCTTCTCCCTCCTTATTTCACCCCAGGGGGACCAAAAAAAAGTCCCTCAACGGTGAATAACCCCAGAGCTGGGGCTGCCCTCAGCATGCAGGGATGTGTCCCACCCTGCAGCTGGCTGGAGGGGGGAGAAAACAGCCCTTGGAGTTGTGTCCTGATGGGGAAATCATCCCCTGGGCCGTGGCACTGAGCTGCAGTTAGCGCTGCTGGCAGTGAGTGAGACCTGGCCCTGCCACAAGCCCCTGTTTTGAGGGGACTCCTTTGCCATGCTCATCCCCTCGGTGTGCAGAGGTGACACTGTGGAGAGGGGATGCAGCCTCAGGCCAGCTGGGTCACCGGGCAGGACAGCCCTGTCCTCTGCCAGCTTGTTACACTTGTTCCCTGTGCTCAGAGGGTTTCCAGAAGGATGCAGGGACACAACGGAGCAGCTGGGGCTGCTGATGGCGGAGCCGCGGCAGCGTGGTCCCCGCCTGAGTGCTGCCAGGACACGTGTCCCGTGGGGGGATGCGGGCGGACGGGGGAGAGCAGAGTTTGTGCGCTGGCAGCAGCTGGAGCCCCTTCCTCCTGCTGACTCAGTGTCTGCTCTGCGCGGCGTTTGAGGTTGAAAGCAACCGCACTGTGCCGGGAAGTGGCTGAGCCTCGCTGAGATGCCAGGGGCCGGCCGGTGTTGCGCAAGGGAAGGGGATGCTGCTGAAATCTGTCCCCTCTGCCTGGACATCGCTGCTGCCGGCTCCGGCTCTGAAGCACCACCCTCCACTTCTGCCACGGAAGCCTGGGCTGAGCCTGGTGCTGCTGGTGTCACCGGTCCCGCATCGGGATCACGTCCCCATCCCCATTCACACCCAGGTACCAGCAATCTGCCTTGTGATGGAGTCACGGCGTCCCTCTGTGCCCTGAGCAGGGTTTGCCTTTCCCCCTCCAGCCGAGGAGCAGGTCCCTGGGGTCCCAGCTGTACCCCACTGCCCAGGGAGGCCATGGGGCTGCAGCCACAGGTCCAGGCAGTATTTTCAGGCAAGACCCAGCTGCAGGTCTGTGTGCATGTCAGAAATGATCGGGCTTTAAAATGCTGTGGGTTTAAAAATTGCATTTAGGTTCTTGTCGTGCCTCGTGCTCTCACTCTGCATCCTCCAGGGATGAGGGGGGGTGGGGGGAAGAGAGGAAAAAGCCCCTCCATCACCGGCCTCCGCAGCTGGGGCTTGAGGCCTCTGTCCTGGGGGCTCGGCTGTGTTTGTCAATAGGGGATTTTAATGCCGGTTGTGACCAGGGAAGGCTCTGGAGGGGCAGGAGAGGGGCCAGCCCAGCCTCGGGGTTGCTGCCCGTTATCCCTGACCCAAGCTGGGGTGGCCTCTGCTCGTGGCACTTCACCACTGTCCCCAAGGGCAGCTGGTCTCCTCACGTCTGGCGCCCACTGATAAGGGGCCGGGGAGGGAGGGGGGCAGCTGGTGGCTTCCTCTGGCCCTGGGTGGCAGCAGGGAGAGCCGGCCCAGCGCCAGCACCTGCACCCAGGCTCAGCCCTGGCTGACGGGGCTCCCATGGGCAGACAGACCTTTGCTGTGGGCTCGGTGGCAGGTCCCAAGCAGGTGGGTGATGGCCTCACCGGATCGTTCCCAGGGGCAGAAAATCAGCCTGACGGTGCTGAAATCAGGAGCGCTCTGTGTGCTCCCCAGGTCTGGGATGGGCACAGCCATGGGATGCTCCAGGCAGCTCGTGGAGCTCTGCTGGCCCATGGGGAAGCCCCTGGCGTGGCCGTCACCAGTGTGATGCTGGGTGTCACCTCAGGGAGTTGGCACATGTGGGGACCTCCATCGCCCCAGGATCCCCTCTCCTTGCCTCCATCCCTGGTGTGGGCAGCAGGAGGGGGTTTAGCTGTAAAACTGCTGCCTGCATGTTCAGATGGCTCGAATCAAAGTGTACAGACAAGGGGGGAGGTGAATGCTTGGACCCAGCCCTCCTGCCCTAGGTTAGAGAGGGGTTCCTGGCCTGGGGCTAGTGCTGGGAAATGTCATCTGCTTGGTTGACTCAGCCCCTGACAGAGCAGCAATTTCTGCTGAGTCAGCAGGCCAGCCCCCACGCCGTCCCGCAGAGCCCACACGCCCGCGCGGGAACCGCTGCCCCGCTGGGGCCCAGGTCAGGGCACAGAGCGGGAGGGGACGTCCCCACCCCCACAAAACTGGCTTCCCTCTGCAGGGCCGGGACTTTCCAGAGGCGCTGCAGGAGCTTGAGGCACTCTGCCCTGCTCATTTTGGGGCTTGGGGTACCCAAGCAGCACACAGGGGTCCTGCCCTCGAGCACGCTGTCACCAGCACCCCTGGGTGCCATCACGTCACTCCTCCTCCCTGCGCCTCCCTCGTGGGGCATCTGCAGCCTGGGCTCACCCCGTCCCCCTGAACGGGGACCACTGGGCTTGGGTGGGGAGGGGGGCTGGAAGTTAGTGGAGAGAGGGCAGAGGGATGTGGATCCCTGCCAGGCTTGTAATTACAGCCCAACCGGGGCCCTCGCATGTGAAACCTGAGCCCCGTGGGGAGCAGGGGAAGCAGAAGCGTCCGTCTGTCGGTGCAGGTGTCTGTCCTGGCCCGGCTCCATCTGGGGTGGATGTGGGGAGTTGGGAACCTCGAGTCCCCCTGGCCCTCACAGCTCCCCCTCCCCGTGCTTGGCTCCGGGTGCTCTGGGGACTGAGCCGTGGGGCCCAGCAGGGAAAACTCAGAGCTGAGGGTGTTTGGGGCCGGGTGCCCCAGGGGGGGTTGGGTTTCAAACCTCCCCTTTGCTTCCACCTTCCCTGTCTCAGCGTGTCCGAGAGCACAGCCAGCAGCGCCCCGCGGCACAGGGCTGTTGGGTGCAGCAGAGCCCCGGCTCCTCCGCGGCATCCCTGGCTTGTTGCGGGTCTCCGGCCTGGGCATAAAACATCTCTGGTGATTGTGGGAGAGCTCCAAGTCCCTGCAGGACCCCGTGTCCCTGCCACCTCCCCAGCAGAGATCCTCCATCCCTGCTCACCTCTGGGTACGGAGGTGGCCCAGGGAGCTTGTGGGGATCCGGGGGCAGCTCCTCGTCCCCTGGGGCTGCGGCAAATGCTGCCCCAGCTCGCAAAGCCCTCCCTGGGCAGCGCCTCGGCCCCAGTGCCCTGAGCCCCACTCTCCCCCCGCCCAGGTGACAGCTATGGGGTGCTGCCCCGGCCCTGCCGTGCCCTGGTGCTGCTGAACCCGCAGAGCGGTGCCGGCCGCGCGCTCGAGGACTTCCAGGCCGTGGTGCAGCCCATGCTGGCTGAGGCCGACATCGCCACCACCGTCTTCGTCACTGGTGAGTCTGTGAGCAGCTCCACCTCCTCCTCCTCCTCCTCCTCCCTTCCCAGGATCCTGCCTGGGTGCTGCCACCCTGGGACAGGCTCCTCCGAGGGCCTCGCGCTCCCCCCGCATTGCCGTGGCTCCAGCGATGGTTTGGACAACGCGATGGGGGGTTGGCTGCGCTCAGTGGGGGTGACTGCCTGACCTCCTGCACCCCTGGGGCTGGGACCCTCGTGGGGGCAGTGGGGCTGGGGTCACCATCTGGGGGAGGGCAGAGGGATGGAGGGCAATGCTCGACATTCCTCTACTTTCACCCGCAGAGAGACCCCACCACGCACACGAGAAGGTGCGGGATGAGGACCTGTCGCAGTGGGACACGCTGGTGGTCATGGCTGGGGACGGGCTGCTGTATGAGGTGAGGGGCACTGTGGGGCAGCCCCCCGGCCAGGGTGGGCAGAGAGCTGGGAGGAGAGGGGTGCCTGCGGCAGGAACCAAGCTTGGAGACACAAAAGTGGGCAGGGAATGGCGAAGGAGAGGTGGCACCTAGCTTGGAGCAAAGCCGGGCAGCCATGGCCTCGGTCCTGCCCTGCCCGACGGCACTGTGGGCACCGTGGGCTCTGCTCCCAGCGGGTCCCTGGCCCAGCCCTGGGTACCAACAGGTCCCTCCCTCCCTTGCAGGTGGTGAATGGGCTGATGGAGCGGCTGGACTGGGAAGACACCATGAAGAAGCCGCTGTGCATCCTGCCGGGGGGCTCTGGCAATGCCCTGGCTGCATCCATCAACCACTACGCAGGGTGAGCCCTGACACCTTGGGGGCACCCACTGCTGGCACCGCACCGAGCTGGGGGGGTGATGAGGGGAGTAACAGGCTGAGTGTGGCTCCAGCCCAGGGGGGTTGCTGGGTGCGGGGATGCCCAGCACAGGGGTGCCCACCTGGGCCTCCACCACCCCGCAGGCAGGTGCTGCACAGGCCCAGCCAGTCCCTGCAAACACCAGTGTGTGTCCCTTTGTCCCCAGCTCCCCCACCAGCCTTTCTGCTCTCTGGACTGAGCCTGGCAAAGCTTTACCCTGAAGGATCCACCCTGGGGCACAGCTGATCCTGCTGTGGGGAGGGCAGGGACTGGGACTGCCCTGGCCCAGCAGCCCCAACTCAGTTCCCTCTTTCAGGAGCTCTTTTATCCTTCCCAGCCCCACCAAACCCTCTCCCAGCAGCTGTCCCAGGGGGACACTGTCACCCAGCTGGGATATGTCCCAGCCGTGACCCAAGGTGGGTTGCACACAGAGGCCCCAATCTGGGTCCAGGATAAACTCACCCTCTTCATCCCCTGCAGCAATGATCATGTCGCCAAGAAGAAGCTGCTGACAAACTGCACCTTCATCCTGTGCAAGGGACTGCACACGCAGATGGACCTGGTCTCGCTGAGCACAGCCTCGGGCAAGCGTCTCTTCTCCTTCCTCGGCTTTGGCTGGGGCTTCATCTCGGACGTGGACATTGACAGTGAGAAGTACCGCCGGCTGGGCAATGCCCGCTTCACTCTGGGCACCCTCCAGTGCCTGGCCAAGCTGCGGGTGTACCAGGGCCGCCTGTCCTACCTGCCTGCTGTCCCCGAGCAGGACACCTCCCCAGCACCCAAGGACCCCCACGTGCCCATCACCAACGGCCAGGCTGGTCACAGCGCGCTGCCCGCGGGGACGGATGCACCCGGAGCTCTGCCCAGCGACTCGCTGCTGGTGCCGCTGTGCCAGCCGGTGCCGCCACACTGGACGGTGGTGCCCGAGGAGGAGTTTGTCTCTGTTTACGCCATCTACCAGTCCCACTTGGGCACCAACCTGCTGATGGCACCGGCGGCCCAGCTGCACGACGGCTGCATCCACCTCTTCTACCTGAAGGCCGGCATCAGCCGCGTGGCGCTGCTGAAGATTTTTCTGGCCATGGCCAGGGGGACCCACCTGGACTTGAACTGTCCCCACCTGCACTATGTCCCCGTCCGGGCTTTCCGCCTGGAGCCACGGGCGGCCGCGGGCATCATGACAGTGGATGGCGAGGCGCTGGCCTGCGAGCCGGTGCAGGGTCAGATCCATGCCCGCCTCTGCCGCGTCCTCAGCGGCTCCTGAGGGGCCAGGTTCGCCCCTCCCCGCAGCGCTGAGCTGCTGGCACGGCCCAGCACGAGGGCGGCAGAGCCTTCCTCCCACTCAGGAACCTCATCCTCCTCCCATAGCAATAGGTGTTGGGGGCTGCGGGCACTCGTCCCCTCGCTTGCCCCCATGCTTAGCTTTACCCCCTTGGGACAGCCACCAGCACTGCCCCAAAAATGAGCTGCGAGCCACATCAGGTACTTGGTGCCAGCAAGACGCCAGCGCGGCCTATCCCGGTACAATATCCCGGCCCCGGGCGGCTGCGCCGGCACAGCCCCGTCCCCTCTCCGGCTCAGACGCACACGGTGGCAGCGCTCGTGTCCCCGCCGCAGAGCCAGTGCCACCTCCCAGAGATGGTCAGGACCAATATGTCTAATACAAGAAAATGGCTTTTTTAAGAACATTTCTACCCAAAGCTTCCTGTAGAAGCAGAATTTATTCTTGTGAGAAATGCAATAAATATCTAGTGTTTGCAAAAAAAGTGCCCCCTGGGTTTTAAATCTGGGTTCCTGGCTGTGGGCAGGGGTGCTGTCACCCCGGGCTGGGGTCACACACAGCCTGGCCACGTGGCCATCAGGACAGGTTTAGCTCAGCACCGCGGCCCTGCGCTTCCCAGGATCCTGCCTGTGCTGCCAGACCTTGATATCTTGGGGCCAGGACCAGTCTGGAATGATGGCCCAGGAAATGCTCCCAGGGAAAAACACCTCAGGAGCAGGACACGGGGCACTGCTGTCACCAAACCTGATTTTTGGGGTGCACCAGTGCCTCCCTGCTCAGCCTTGCACAGGGGCTGATCAAATCCAGGGAGCTCAGCCCTGCAGCGATGCTTTTGGCTATCCTGGGGAAGGTTCAGCGCCTCTGAGCAAGCCCAGGGAAGGGGTCAGAAAAGAGATTCAAGGAGGGGGTTGTTGGAGCCGAGGGGTTTGGCTTTCTGCCGGGAGCAGGGGCCCTACGGGGAACTCGAGCATCCCCCTTCCTGGGGAACCCGGGGCCAGCTGGAGCTCTGCAACAGGTCCCTGCCCGGGGGATTGCCTGGGGGCGGATTACTGAGCCTATTTGGTATAAAATTGCAGTAATTAAACCTCATTTACAGCGCTCAAGTACAAAGTAGAAGAGTAAACACTGGTGGCTGTTTGCATTTATTCATCTGCAAACTATGCAATTAGGATTGCGGAACCGGGAAAGAAAAGCACGATTGTTCCCCCCCAGCCACGTCCCCACTGGCTCCTGGGGAGCCGAGCTGTTCCCGGGCCAGCGAGGCAAGCAGCAGCTGGGAACCACCTCCCAAAATAAAGTTATTTCTCCCGTGGCATTAGGCCAGGCCTAAGAACAGGCTCAGCCATGCTTCGCTGAACTCTAACCGTGTGGAACAGCCGCCACTGCAGGAGGGGGCTGCAGGGAGAGCCCGGGGTAGGGGACGGGCTCAGAGCTCTCGGCTGCCTCCTCAAGTGGGACAGTTCACAGAGCTGAGCCCTTGGGGACTGCAGCACCCAAAAGGCTCGCTGGAGTCCCCTCCAGGGCTCTCCCAGAGACAGTAGGATTGCTCACAGCAGCAGGTTGGTTGGGTTTGCCCATGCCATCCCTTTCCCAGGTCTTGACCCGGCCACTTCTACAACCTGGAGCCCCCCCCCAGCTCTGCCCATGCAGCCCCTCGCTCCTGCCACCCAAGGGAGGGGGCAGCAGCAGCCACACACCCCTCCAGAGGCAGATTGTTGCTGTTTTTTAACTCCAGCAAAGCTGCAAGTCTGACAGTGTTGCCCCTCTACGCTGCCTGTACCAGTCCCCTTGGACCCTGCCTGTGCAGGCAGAATGGGGCCAGGCAGAGCAGCCCTGGGGGCAAATGTCCGTGGGGGTCAAACACCCCCCCAGCACCCAGGAGGGGCAGGAGGTCCTTGGCTGGACATGGCTGCATTTGCCTCCCATCACACACCTGTGCTGGGTCGAGGGGCTGGGAGGGCAGCACCAGGGGAGAGGTGCCAGGGCCCACCAGGCCCCCTGCCAGGCTCTGGGGGCTGCAAAGGGTTTTGCTTTGCTCCAGGTCCAGCCCCATCTGCCAGAGCAGCAGTGGGTTTGCCACCAGCTGTGCTGTGGCACAGGCCAAGCCACCAGCAGCCAGTGCGCACCCCGTGCCAGCAAAGCACAGAGAAAACAAACCAAAAAGAAGCCTGACAGATGTCTTGTGAATCAGGGTTTTGGGGAGCGAGGTCCTGGAGAGCCAGAGGGGCAGCCCCTCACTGCCAGATCTGCCTGGCTCCCTCCGGCCTCGCTGCCCTCCCCACGCTGTCAGGCTCAGCCACAGGGAGCCCGTCCAGCCCAGGGCAAGTGCCAAAGCATGGCAGAGGGGAGAAAGAAAGAGACAACAGTCAGAACTACTCACAGAGGCAAAATTTAATGGCAAGTCATCTTCCCTCCTTTATTACACCTTGGTTAGCCAAACAAAAAAAAAAATTCTGCAGGTAAAAAAAGTTTTAATGGTCACACAGCACTTTATACATATATCATAAGCAACCAAGCATCCACATCTGCACGTGAACGACACACCTCTAAGCATGGCCTCAATAGTCAGGTCTTTTTTTTTTTTTTCTTCATTAAATACTGTACAGAATCAAGGCTACAAACTGATTTTGTAATGCTTCTTCCCTAACCCCAGCACTTAAAACAGTTACAGGCTGCTCTCATTTGTACATCACACAGTCGTGTAGCCAGTTTTAAGGCTAACAATATGCATCATGCTTTGGCTTTTTTTGTGTGTTTTAAATTTTTTTAAGGTTTTAGCCTTTTAAATTTTGTTACCCTTAAATATTACATACATACACAAAAAATTACATAGCTGCAGTGTGCTCACCACCAACCTCATCACCCAGGAGCTTCACATTATCAAAAGCTTTAGAAAATTTGTAAACCTCTGTGCACGCCTCAGTTTGGGACAGCCAGCTACAGAGAGTGAGCGATGCCAGGGGTAGCGGCAGCCAGGGAGTTGTGTCCCCTTCCAGAAGGCCAAGGAAGCCCCAGGAACTGTGCAAAAGCTCTTGATTACGATCAGAGGAAACAAAGACTTCTTGGGCGAAAGGGAGGACACGCAGCTCATCCCAGCAGCAGCGGCGGCTGCCTGCCCTCCTCCCCCCGTGGGTGGGCAGCGTGACCAGCCCCTGCTGCCTGCCCACCCTGTGAGAGAAGAGCTGCAGAGAAGACAAGGTGGGCAAAGCAGGGAAACCCAGAGCTCCTCTATCCCTCCATCCCCAGCCACAGCTCAGCCCTGAGGGGTTTTCTCCCTTCCTCCCTGGCCAGTGGGGCTAAGGACAGCCACAGCCTGGCACAGGAGACAGAGGAAGTCAGCATCTGTAGATCACCAACCACAATTTTGTCTGGTAAGAGGTTTAGTCATTTGCGGAACAAGCCTCTCTGCCTGCCCTTCCCCTGCCCTGAAACAACAGCCTCACCCCTCGGTCCCAATCAGCCCTTTATACTTGAGAGACACACTCGCTCCTGGCTCAAAGGGATTCATTCATTTACCACCAGCCACAGCCAGGGCTGCCGGTTACATACGCAGCCTGCACTGCGGCCCCAAACACCTCTGCACTCCGACGGGGCTCTGCCACGCTGCCAGACCTCCCGCCTGTCAGGCAGGGAGGGCTCTGGGTGCCAGAGCAGCCACGCAGCTGATCCACCTGCAGACCAGCACTACGAGAGCTCTGCAGGCCCACGTCTGTGCTCACAGTCAAGCCCTGCTTCCTCGGGAGCACTGGGAGCAGGATGTGCCTGCTAAAATCCCAGCAGGGGATGGTGATGGAAGGGCTCTGGAGCACCTGGGGGTGGGGGGCAGCAGGAAATAACAGGCACAGGGAGCTGGGTGGGGGGGTTTGGGTCAGTAGGTGCAGACCCTGGTGCTTGGAGGAGCAGAAAGCACTGTGCAAACGTGCTGAGATTCGCCTGCTGTTCTCTGTTTCAAAATGAGAAGGCCAGACCCTGGCCCGGGTCAGGGGAAGGGACACAGCCATACCGAGCAAGAACAAAGGTTTGGTTCTGTCCTTACTTCTGGCAGAGTCATCTGCTCAGAGACTCCTTCCTGGGAAGCCTGGCAACACCGGCTCCCCGTGCTGGCTGGAAGGACCAGGGGACTCTCCCTGACAGACTGTGCTCCACATGGATGCTAAGTGGGTGCTTCTCCAATGCTGAAACACTGGGCAAATGCAGTAGTGCTGGAGTGTGACCTCCCAGCTCCAGAAGTGACAGTAAGTGCATGCTCACAGAAAAAGAGGCTTCGGGAAGGTGTCTTGACCAGCAGACTCTGGCAAGTCACTGCTTCAAAGTGCTCACGGTCACCAGCTCAGACAGTTCTCTCACTGCTGAAACATGGGCTGATCTCACCAGGCACTGCCCGGGGTGGCCAGGCAGTGCTGCACTTGAGATCAGGAGTAGCAGGTGCTGTGCCCACAACACTGCCGGCCACAGCGGGCCCTGGCCACCGCGGGAAACAGCTGGCAAGGGAGGGAATTGGTAACAGTCCACACCAGTGTCTGACATGCTCCAGTCGCTGGCTGAGTAACAGCACAGGAAGGGTCACTAACTGCTGCTGCTACAGCAGGAGCTCGTCAGGACAAGACAGCTCCTTTCCCTTGGGTGAGCCTGGCTCAAGCAGCTCCAAAATACCCATCTACAGCCAAATGACAGAGAAGCAGCAGCCATGCCAGGTTCACCATCCAGACTAGCTGCTAGATCTACAGTACACCCCAAAAATCACTCGCTGCTGCCTGCCCAGGCGAGGACGAGATCCAGGGTTAGGAGTAGTGCTGTGTGACAGCCAGGATGGCTGGAACGAAAGACGCGGATATCGAAGTAATCAGGGCAGAACCCTAAATCCCATGTATTTCTAGAAGACAGGCATGCATGGTGGAGAAAGGGAAGTTTGCCTTACTCTGGAGAAAAAGAAGTGGGGATGGCTAGAATTGCTTCCAAAAGACTGACCAGAAGTTGCAGAAGTGGACAGAAACCCCACAGCGCTGCCAGGGCAGCACAGGTGCTACTCTGACTCTGAGCACTCTGGCTCTGCCTACCAAGTCCTGATCGGAAGAACCTCGTAGCTATGGGTGAACAACTAAGACTAGCGCAACTCCGTATGGTGTAGACAACCTCAATGCAAACACAATCCAATGTCTAAGTACATATAAGACTTCATAAAACCCATGGTAACACCGAGAAAAATGAAAGACTGGGAGGGCATTGCCCTTCACTTCCAGATTCTACAGCAATCACTTCTCCTGGCTTGAACCCCACCAGAACAAACGGCTGGGTGTAGCGCTGGGTGGGAAGAGTCCTTGTGTGGAAAGGTGCCCCAAGATGAAAGTGCAGAGGGAACGTGGCTGCAAGACTGCTTCTGTGCAGGTCTCAAATCTTACCATGGCAGGGTCAAACTCGCAAGAGGAGCACGTACACGGGACAGGGGGAAGGAAGAAGGGCTGGGGGCAAAGAGTTATTCATGCTTAGACAACCTTTCCTTGGAGGAGCAATCAGGCCTACCACCTTCTTTGGAACAAATCAAGCTGAGGAAGAAAAGCTGGAAGGAGAAGCCAGTTTACTGGTAACAGCGTTTGCCAAATTCCTTTCTGCTGCTTTTCCTTCTCCCCTGCACCTGCCTGTCCCTAACCTGACAGTTTATTTGTCCTCTGTCCACTCTGGGATGTTGGCCCCTGCTAAGGCAGCCCGGTACTGCTGCAAGACACCGCGGATGCTTTTAATGAACCCCTTGGACAAAGGGAAGAGGGGGAACCCAATATCGGGGTAACCGCTCTTCTCCGGAAGGAAACTCCTGTAGCTCTTTCTCCTTTTCTTTGGTTTCACACTAGGCTGCAAGGCAGAGTCCTGGGCAGCCTTCCCCTCGTCCGTTCGGTCTCTGGCCAGGTCTACCCCCCTGGCTTGGCCTGTGCTCTCCGAGTCTGAGTACTGTTGGAGATCACCAGCGTTGGGTGTCGAGGTTGTGAACTCCAACTCGTCCAGCTCCTCCTTCCCGTCAAGTGCTGAGTCGGAAAGCTCAGCGGCCGCCCCCTGCTCCGAGCTGCTGCCATACTCCCCTAGCGATCCCACATTGTCTCCAGGGCTCTCTGCCAGCATGCCACAGGCAGAGAGAAGGGAGGCAGAATCCGCCCCATTGGCCTGTTCGTGGCTCCGCTCCACCAGCTCGTTCGTCTCCAGCCAGGACTCGATGCGGGACACCAGGCGCCAGCCGTTGCAGCGAAAATGCTCACGGATTTCGTGCTCAAAGACCTCCACTGGCCTGCGCAGCAGCTGCATCATGGACTGCACCACCCGGATCAGGGTCATCTCGTTGTAGCAGCGGCTGTTCTCGTAGCCCTCCTGGAGACCCCGGTCGCTGTCAAAGCCTGCCTCGTTGTAGTAGGGCTCATTCACTAGTATAAGACCTGCCAAGAGAAGGGGAGACCAAAGGGTTAAGGGAGGAATTTTACCATGAATCACCCTCCCAGGCAGAGACAAGACACTGCTGGGCCCTGATACCTGTCAAGAGGGTTGAGGTTCAAGGGTCACAGTACTGCCTTGCCAAGGCATCAGGACAGCTTTACCCGCAGCCACCCCGATGCAGGCAGCAGGGAAGCCAGGCTTTGACTTCAAGCAGGTTGCAGAGGCCAGGCTGGACAACCAGGGACCTGCAAGATGCAGTGGACTGGTATTGCAAGGGGAGCACTCATGTGAATGGGTCTGTGGCCTCCTGCTAGGGTGGTGGGGATCTTGGACACTACCAGGAGTGGCACTCAAGGTCCTTGGCTGGCAAGAACAGTCTTCCACCAACACAATGCAGAGGGTAAGCAACAGCAGAGGTCAAAAGGAGAAAGGTATCACAGCTCCTTTCCTTTCACTGCCCTCCAAGCAAAAAACAACCCACAAATGCACCCAAAGCTTTTTGTCCTTAAATAGTTTCTTTCTCTTAATCAGAACAAAGGCCAATCTTCAGTAAGAGGCTTTGAGCTGGCCAAGTCCCAGCCTATCCAGCATAGTCCCATCAGACAGGGCAGTTCCGAGACAGTGAATACTGTGACAAGTCACCCATGCCAAGCTTCCTCCTGCTTGCTTCTGGTCTAATGTGATGACACATATGTAGCCAGGCCGCTGGCAGCCTGCCACCAACTCCATTAGAACTGGTGGAGGTGAGATCATGAGTCTCTCAAAGCCCAGGCAGAAGGGAGGCAGGAAATTTTTCACTAGCACCAAGCTGCTCCAGTAAAAGATTTAGCATTTCATTTTCTAAATTTGGACCCTCAGCTTTGTAAATGAGAAAAGCCTTTTCTAGTGGTGTCGTTCCCCCACAGGATACAGGCGGATTGTGAGACTTCAGAGAAGCAGGAGTTGCCTGCTGACTGGAGGCAGGAGCCCTTGCCCTGTATCAAAGGTTTCCAAGTCACATGCCTGGACTCCCTGCATAGAAAGTTGGCCTTGAGGAAGAGATTTGATTTAGTCTGTCTGCTCTCGAACTAGATACAACAGGGCAAAGCCCTGTGGCAGGAAGCCCTGGGGCTGGGCTAGACACACCCTGATTATTCTCTGCTTCGGAAGGAGCATAAACACCATCACCCTGTGCAAAAACATGCTCAGTGTAGGATGGGCGGGTGACTCAGTGGGGATAAAAACAGTGCTGTGGATGAATCTCAGTTTTAGCAACTTCAACCAACTTTGGTAACGGGCTGAGAACACAGTGGTTCACCTTTGTCAGCTCAGAATAACAAGCAAAACAGCTCTGTGCTTAGCTGCCACAGCGAGAAGAAGGGAAAGCATTGTGTCAGAGATCTGGGATGCAGCCAAAAATCAGGGTATGAGAAAAGCTTGCACCTGCTTTGACTACTGAACTGGAGAGATAAAGACACTGCTTTGTCCAGCAAGGTGAGAGCAAAAGGCAGCACAATCCCAACTGGGGTGGCAGACCCTACCTGTGCACCCCCATAAGCCCGCAGCCCTTCCTCCCTCTGCCTTCTTCTGTCCCACAGGCTCTGCAGGAGCATTTACCTTGGATAGAGATGAGTACTTGAAGCAGGCTTGATTTACTGGTCCATCTTTCTGTCCCCTGGAATGCACATACAAACGTGTTAAAGGGCTGAAGCACCATTGGTTTGCTCTGTGAAGACTGTCAGATGAAGCAAGGCCCCAGTTTCTCTGTGCTCCTACTGCTAAGGTCCTCTGGCTCACAGCAGGAACAAGGGACTGACTTGACAAGCATGTGATGTGCTAGTGTCCTGTTGCACCTTATCTTTTGCCAGCACTGCACCCCATCAAGACAGTTCAGCCTGGAACAGTGTAACCCTACACACCAGACACCAGTTCCAACCCTGCCCCAGCCATCCTGTCGATCTACCTGGCCAAAACACAGCATTTCCCTGGCTCTGGTTATTCCAAGTCTCCAGCTGGATGCTGTGTCACACTATGTATGTGATTCATCTGCAGTGTGGGAGACAGGGACCCGAGCCGTGGGAGAACATCCCATGCTTGTGTTGGTGTCTCTGCTCTGCCCAACCGTGATGCAGCCCAGCGGGTCTGTGGCTTCTCATCAAGGAAGGACAGACAGGAGCCAAATACAGTCCGAGAAGCAGCCAAACTACATCAGTTACCTGCTCCAGACATCTAAACAGAGCCCAAAGCCCAAGCCATCCCCAGCTCAAACACCACCTGAGACCAGAAGTCACCCAGGATTCTTGGCTCGGTAAGAAGTGGCTTGTTCCAGAAACAGCCTGGCACAGCCACCACTCCCCACGACAGGGAGAGGAAAGCGTTACCTTGCCTATCCACGTCCCCAGGAGGCTGACACACACTTTGCCATTGTCATACAGGTTGGGATTCAGTCTCCCACTGCACTGGGAGAGGTAGCGGAAGAGAGGCGGGACAGCAGGGTAGATGTTGGGGAGCTGGATATCGAAGAGAAAGAGGCCATCTTCATAGGGTGTGCGCGTGGGGCCTTTTATAAGTGCTGAGAAGAGATCCTGTGGAGAGAGGATGTGATTAACTCGGCCCTTGCAAGAGTCAGCTCAAGGTAACACATCTCTGGGCACCTTCTCCCTAGAAGCTGCACTCGTCCCACGGCCTGATGGCAGACCAAGCCTTCGGATCCAAAGCCAGGCTTCCGAGGACAGCCAGCGATCCCCAGGCTGCTCACAGGTTACACCAGCTCCTCGCTGGCTGCCCCCCCCACACCCTTTCCTGCTCAGCAGGACAGGCAGCCCAGTGGGCAAAGCACCTGAAATAGGGGCTTCCCTCTGTTTCCCACCCTGACTTGAGGAATGCAAAAGCGGTTGTTTATGGTAATTACAGCTGTATTTCACATGCTGCACACATTCCTGCAGCTCTAGCACAAAGGATTAAGGCTAAACAGGGAATTCCAAAGAAAGCAATCCGGATGCTGAGTCCAGCACTAACACAGGCATTTGAGAGCAGACACTTGCCATTCGATCCTCAAAGGTTTTAACCATGATGCCATCAGGCAGGGAGGTGGCCAGGAGAGCCATCTCTTTCCGCACAGTGCTAAAGAACTTCTTTGCTTCTGGGGGCTGGAACTCCATTTTCTTGAAGACATGGGTATCTGTGGGGAAGGAGGAGAATGGGATTAAAGCCTGACTTTGGAAACTACCTCAGGTTCCTTGTGAAGGCAAATCTATCCATGTGTTAAATGTATCGTCTGGAAAAGAAAAGTTGAGTTGCTCTGGTGCTGAGCCAGGAGGCAGCCTAGAGATTATTTGATTTTTCCCCACACTGTACAGCAGCCACAACCTGCACCTCCTGTTCTCATGGTCCCACACAACATCGTGCCTGTGCCCCAGAAGGAGCCCTGTCCCACAGCCAAGACAATGATGCATCATCACACAGACTGATGACCCTTTCTCTGCAAAACCTGAACATAGCTCTCCATCTTTATTTATACACACCTGCAGGATCAGAACAGTTTGGCCACCTTTCCTTCTCAGGTCTGGTCTGGCTGGCTCGCTGAGCACCTCGGGCTCTGCTGTCACCAATGTTCCACAAAACCAGATGCTCTTTTTTATTTTTGGCTGATTAACACTACCACAAGTGAACAAGGACACTCACCCACCAAGGACACCCAGCACAAGAACACCAGCTGTTCCTGCTCTGCTTCTTAACCAATCCATCCCTGCAAAAAAGCCTGAACAAATCCTAAAACTTTCAAGAAAGTATCTGCAATGGAAAGCAACTGAACTCCACAGCCCTTCAAAAGGTAAGTTACCAATGTGGACAAAGGGGAAGCCCACTTCTGTGTCTTGAGAAGTGACAGTAGTGCCTAGAGATACCATCTAAAAGCCAGGTTTAAGTCCCAGAACAGACTGTGCTACAGAAGTTGTCTGCTCCCCAGTTAATGAGCCGTGAAAAGGACTAGGAAGAAGAAAGTATACCCAAACCAAAAGGCCTGGAAGCAAAGGTTTTGGAGAAACATTGAAGGACAGGAAAGAAATTATCCCACACTGGCCTGACCTGACACACTCACCTGGAGCATACTCCAACACAGAGAAGACTTCTCCCTTGGCACTGGTGAAGGTGACTCCAGGCTTGCCTCCACTCTGCTGGCAGAGCACTGGTGTCTCACTGGGCCACTCTGACCTCACTGGTGTCTGTGCCTCTGCTTTTTCTTCTTTCTTCTCTGTCTCCACCATGGCTTCCATCTTTTCTTCCTCTGCAATAGCCACATTATCCAGGGTCTTTTTTAGATTTTCCTGCAGCTTTTTAATATCATCCAAGAACTTCTTCTCCCTAGTGGGTTTTTCCAGCTCCACAGTTGGGGAGGTAGGAGAGCCAGTCAGCAGCTGCTCCACAGTCATATTTTTCAAGCTTTCCAAGATCTTGATGGCCTCCTTTAGTTCCCGGAAGCTCTTGGGGGCTCCGTCCTTGCCAGCTTTCTCTGCAGCAAGATCTGCAACTGCCATAGCCACAGCTCCCTGGACTTGTTCCTCTACTTTTTTCACTTCCTCTGCTGCCGGCTCCTCAGGCTCTAACTCCTCAATTTTTGGGTGGTCGTCTTCCATGAGGCCATTGTCTGTCTCCCAGCTGTCGCTTTCATCCTCCCACTCAGAGGATGCCCCGCTGGTGCTGCCGTCAACAGAATCATAGTCCGACTCCTCAATTTCTGATTCAATATTGTATAAGTGCTAAAGGAGAGCAGAGTTACAAAAGACACCAGAATAGTTAGGATGAAACACAGAGTTTTAGTTGTTTTTGCAACATAGGCAAGTAAGTTCTCCCCATGAAAAAGGAGCTCCCAGCTAGAATTTGTTGGGCTATTTCAACCCCTTCCTCTATACAGGGTGGACTGTGCTTGATCCAAATAATGTGCTCATCAATGACCAGCACAGATTATGAATCAGCATAGGTGGAGGGTAGGGCTAAGTAGGGCATTGGGGGAAAACTAGGGCAAGTTCTAGGCAGGCTGCAGCCATCCCAGCAGCTGGGATCCAGCCACCAAGAAGAGCACACAGGCGCTGAAGAGCTACCTGGATGCCCCAGGGTTTCCAAATGCAGAGCCAGTTCATAACATATTGGGTACTGAGTGTGCAGTAAGCATTTCTGGTCCTGCTTCTGCACCAGCAACCGCCTTGGCACAGAGCCCTGGTTTGGCTGCCTCCACACTCCATCCTTCCACAGAGACAATGCTGGAACCAGGAACACATTCCCATACCAGCTTTCTTCTGCAGCACACACTACTTGCCGTCAGAGCCCTGCTATGCTGCTTTAGCTGTTGTATGTCACTACTGCTTAAAATTCAGCTGGGACAATGAGCCTAACCCAAGTTGCTGAATAAGCTCTTACATAAAACATTCTCTTCCCCTTCACTACTGGAAGCTGAACCCATCCATGCTCTGCCTAGCCTCACCTCTCAATCCTACTTTTGCACATGCTATGTCTCTCAAAAAGTCCCCCTGCAGAGGCTTGCAGACATACTCCAGCTATGAGCACCAACACAGAAGCAGGGGAGCAGAACAACTTTATAGGGCTGTGTTAGGAGTTACAAGATGGAACATTTTATCCAGAGGCCTCTGACACTTGAATGACAGCCCAAGAATCCTCTTAATCTTACAAGATATGACCCCAGAGGCTGAAGTGCATGGATGGACACTCAGTCATCTTGTCGAAGCATTGAACTGAACCAGCACTGTTCAGCCAGTCCTGTGCCACCCAGAGACAAGCAGCCAGCAGAGGTTAGTTGGGTTCAACACAAGTGACTGCAGACAGGAAAAGCCATCAAAACTCACTGCTCTCAAAGCTAATCCAAATCTGAGTAGGAAAGTTAATTAGCCAGTTATGCCATCTTTATTTTTAGAGCTGAGAAAAAGCACCCAGGCAGCTTGTCTCTGGGCGCATGGACAGGCATTGATAAATCACAGTTTTACCAACTGATAATTCACGCTCCTGACATTTCCCCAACTCCCATAATTACGCAGACGAGCAGAATTGAAAGGACTGGCGTGACACAGCAGGAGCTGCTGCAGAGCCCCAGCACCGCAGCGTGAGAACAGCCCTTTGTGGAGCGCACATCAGACCTCTGATTGTGCCTGTGATCCAAGCACATGTGACAACAGGGGGAAGGGACACAGCAGCCTGCTTTGTAACACTAGTCCACTGCCATAGTGCAGGCATTGACTATTCTACTGTAATTAATGCAGAGCTGCTTGGTTTAAAAAGAAATCTTGATCGAGTACTTTCTACTTGCAAACGCATCTCCGCAGTGGAGGCAGTGGTGTTTCTGCCACAGCAATGGAGGTGGGACCCTACAGATGTAGGGCTTCTCTCATCTTTAGGCTGTCTTAATTTGAAGCAACACAGAGAAAAGACATGGGATGAAACTCCGTGTGGAATACTGAATAAGGTTACAATACAGTACAGCAAAAACCTTAGAACAATGCAGAAGGCAAATCAATGGGGTTAAGTGGATTACCATTGTGGCTGTATTTATATTTTGAAGCTTATACTCAACTCTTTTCCCGCCCTGTCCTGGGAAGAGATTTGTGTCTGATCCCTAGGTTAGCTATGGGGACAACTTGGGGCTCTAGTCCAGCTTCTGGAAGAGCTTCTTCAGCCAGAGAAAACACCATGGTGCCATTTCACAAGCAAGATAGAACAAGCAGTCGCCTTCCAGCAGTGCCTTAGTTGGGCAATGCAGCAAACCTGGGCTCAAGTCAGAGTGGATGATCCCTGAGCTCTGCAACCTGCTCTGCAAAGCAGAGGGTGCTGGAGGCAAGGAGCAGGGCTGTGGTCAGAGCTGTGAATGTGCAGCACAGCGTGTGAAGGAAGCAACAGCCTGCTCATACTTTCCTATTTTCTATATTCAAGAGCAGTGATGACTAACTAGTTGCCAAGTCCTCCTGACAAAGGAAGAATTTTCTTGTGGTAACAGAAGTGGGAAGCTACCCTCTCATATGGGAAGGCAGCAATAGAGCAAGATTCCCTTACACAATGAATCTCTCTGCACCTGGGATTTAAAACTAAGATTTATCACTTAGGAATTAAGGGATATCGCGAGCTGGAACAGGACCTCACCTGAGGCAGAATGATAGTCTTGGAGTTATCAGCCCACACCACTTCCACTTTACTGCTGACATCCACACGAGCCACTTGTCCGACCGAAGGCTGTGGAAACAAGAGCAGTTTGTCAGTCCCTTTTCTTTTCCAAGTACTTCAATGCAGAGCAGGAAGGTTTTGAGAAACAGATATTGCCCAGTTGGAGAAGCACCTAGAGCAATGCTTGCAGTCTGCCACAGAAGTGACAGGAGTCCTGGGGTCCCATGTCAAGAGGGAGAAGAATCCTACAGATTGGGTTTCCATGAGAAACCCCACAACACTGCTGTGGAGATGGGAAAAACTCCCCACCCTGCCATAAGGAGGAGAGGACCAGGAGGACTGGTCTGGCAGCAGATCCCAATTTCTGATCGGGCCCAGGGCCATGGCAGAGACTGGGGCTGTGCCAGAGAGGGGACAGGAGCTTGCCCTGGCTGGGGCTGCCCTCTAGCGAGGTGCCGACAGTCGGCCCCTGCCCTCGCACCCAGCCGGGCTCACAGCAGCTTCTCCCAGCAGAGAGCGCGCAGGCGTGAACAGCCAAGTCACAGTTGGCACAGGGTGTGCGCAGTAAGTAGCATCTTGCACTGGAGGAAGGTTATTTAGGTCAGCTGAGCAAGCTCAGATGTGTTTCATGCTGCTGAAACTAGAACCAAGATAAGAACTACACTGTGCCTTTTAACCCTTTCTTAGGGCAGCAGTCTCTAAGCTGGAGGTCTTCCCTGCACAGTAAGGAAGCCTGTTTCCTAGCAAGGAATGTATCCTCTACAGTATAAATTGTTCCTCTTCCTCCATAGGAGATCAATCAGAATTAACACATATATAACAACTCAGATGAAAACCGGAACCCCAGTCTTGACAAATTAAACTGGTTTCACGACAAATCCACCTTCACTCTTGCTCAGGAGCCCACAGAATATTCTTGTATTAGAAGTTAACCTGAAATCCTAAGCAAAAGTTTTATTAAAAACCCTGAGGTATATGTTCAATTCATGTCTCAACTTTGTTCTTGCTCTGCTATAGACTGTCACCAAGGGCAAAGGATTTCAAAGTTGTATCTCCACCAGACTTAGAGATCTGATACGTTACTCATGACAGCAGGGGACATGGATGCAAAAAACTAGCAAACTATGGAGTTTAGGATGCCCATGTGGGGCCTAAGGCCCTCCTATTGACTCTCAATTGTCTCCACTAATACCTGGTGACAATGCAGTCACAACTGTGCCCAGAGCCTACCTCATCCTCCTTAGCTGTGGCTCCATCCGAGTTGCCAATGCGAATCACAATGTCAGTAGTGCGGAAGCGAAAGTCTGGATGATCAGCAATGTCATACACGCTCACATCCTCCTCCTCCCCAATCAGCTGCATAGGAGACAGAAGGCAACAGGTCAGCCCCAGGGTGCTGCACAGACCTTCAGAGCACACCTTCAATACTTGAAAGTACTTAGTGTTGTATTTTGTCAATTTTCAGTTGCTCCAGCCGCCTGCAAGGAGCTGCTAATGTCCCTTCTTGTCACCTCATCCTGTAGCACATCAATCAAGGCACAACAATGAAAGGAAGCAGATATTCTGTCTCATCTGCTCACCCTCACCTTTTCTTCAGGTTCAGTATCACCACATCACAAGATATGCAAGAACAACATTCTATTCCCTTCTGAACACCCAGATTTCTCAAAGCAGTTCACTGGGGTTTACAGGGTTAGAGTTTACTTTTGAAACAATCCAAGGCAACAGGAAATATCTGACAAAAAACTTATCAATTAATGGGAAACATCTTTCCTTTGATTTCTGCTGGAGGATGAGAGGTAGGGGCCAACAGATAATGAGAAAAGGGTAAAGCAGAGCACAACCCTATGCCAGACTGATGTTCCACTTCTGGATGTAAAGGGCCCTGCTCAGTTATGACAATGCAGTCTCCCCATCCCAGGGCAGAAAGCAGTGCACCAGATTTGAGTGGTTCAAGTCCCCCTCTCACCTCCAACCAGACCATAGGCTATCAAGGTGACAGAATACAGTGTTCCTACAAGCTCCAGGAAAAAGATATTAGGGCTGACTATAGGCAACAGTGCCTGGCAGAGGCAACATGTCACAGACTGATTCTCTTTCCATGAACTAGCAAAGACATGGGAATGAAAAATTCTTAAACTGAACTCAAGAAATTAACTGTCTGTGATGACTTTCAGCAAAAATCTTGATCCATACCAGAGCCTGATGTTGACTATGGGATGTAAACCTTCTGCTTGGTCTTTGCTGCCTTGCAGGCATAAACAAATATGAAGCGACATCACCTCTAGCTAAGCCTCCCAGGCCCAAAAGCACATGGCTGTTCCCGTCCTCAAGGACAAACTCCACTAAAGAGCTGACCCTCAGGCTTATCTGTGTTTATCTGTGAAGCTTGTGCTGTTTTCTCTTAGCTGGTTTCAACAGGCACTGGCTCCTGCACTTACCTCCACGTCATCTCCGCTGGATTTCAACTTGAACCACTTCACCACACAGGTACGGCCTATATGGTCACCAGACTGCACGACTCCGTATAACCCGGGGTCCTGGGAGCTCTGAGCTTTTGGTCGCAGTGGTAGGGAAGAAAATAGATAAGTTAAGTGGAGGAGCACAGACTTTGCATAGCAACTGAGGCTGTCGGTTCCCAAGCTCTCATGGCTGAAACCTTCCATTTGTGAATGGCATGAGGAAAAACAGTTCTTCCTACACAGTCAAAATTGCACTCAGCTAACAAGTTGCATTTTAATGGAGCATGGAGTAATGATAAAGTAAGATAATACTGCATAGGACTCTGCCATTCATTTTGGACCATTTTTGAGCTCTATCACCAAGAGAAAACATGCTGTCACCTTAGTGCTCTGCTCTCTAAATTAGCTCTGCACCAAGACTGCCAGAGTTTCTGGACAGACTGGCCAAGACCTCCCTGGGAGAAGTCCTGCCATCTAGAAACATGCCACCCCCACAACAGTTCTGCTCCTCTGGAAAAATGGACTGGACAGAGGTGGAAGAAGGGCAGGATGCAGGAAGGTATATGTGTGTGTATGCATGCACCAGGGATCCAACAGCATCAAAGCTGGGCCTGGACCACCTCTCCAGGGCTGGGCTGTCAGCCAGCACACTGGTATCCAGACATCTTCCAGATTTATCTGGCTGACAAGGATCCACCTCCTGGCATCCTTAGCAGGGGGACACAAGAAACCATGGGCATCCCAGCCTGTTTGGAGAGCACGTTTGATAGAGAGAAATACAGATTTCAAAAGGCCAAACTAGAATAGTGGAGCTGATAACTTGTTTCCACAAACTACACTTAACTCACAAAACCGGTCAGACTATTACTCATCAGAAATGGCCATGCAACACAGCATATTTTTTTGCTAAGCCAGCTTTTCCTCTTCCCAACCTGACAGTATCTTGTGCTCCCCACTGTTCAGAGACTACCCCTGCAAGAAAAGGAGGAGCTGAGAGCCAGATGGTGTGGATCAGTATTTCATATCCAAAAGCTGTAAGTCTCCTTGAACTTATACCATGACCCTCACAAGCATCACCAAACCAATTGGGTGCAGGTGAAAGGAAAGGGATGCAGAAGATGCCTCTGGATCCCAAAACCCTCTGAGAAAAGAAAGAGGGTCATGATAGACAAGCTGAGGTGAGCTTTTCATTTCTCTCCTCATTCTGCCGAGAGCTCAGAGCCATGTGCACTTTCAAGGAAGAGAATCTTAACTTTGTTCCTTGGCCCTTATTCCTTCCACATCTTACATGTTGTCATAGTTCAACTTTAGTATTTAAATAATGGTTATCTGCTGATATTTATGTTAAGTCAGCTGAATTACTGTCTGTCCCCTGTTAGGCTCTTGAGCCTACCTCAGGTGAGTACTACTAAGAGCTGCCCTAAAGTGGGCTACAATGTACATTAGGAGATCCAGATTGAAGAATACTTTGCAATTAAGAGCACATTTGTTCCCTGAGGAGAGTGTTGTTTTGACACCCAATACCTCTTTTGTCCACCACAAAATCCCCAGGGCAGAACTCGTTGTTGTCCAGATGATGGACTGGAATCAGCTCGTTGGAGCGAATGTTTGTCTCCACGGTGCCATCCTGCCACATAACATCAGCTGAAGTCATCGTGGTCACCACTTCTACAGCAACTCTGGGAACACAGAAAGGCAATGAGTTACCAGAGGGAACACACATGAGCGTAACCAGAACATGATGCTGCCGACATCAAGAATCAAGATGGATCTCAGCAACACAAAGGTACACATCAGCAGGCTGGAAAGCAAGTCAGGAAACTCCATCTAGTCCCGGTGGAAGCAGCTACACAGCAGGCTTCGCTGTGACAGTTTCTCAATCACTGCAGACGTCACATTGCTGCAAGTCTATGTTGCAGGACGACTTTCCAGGGAGGCGATGCTGAGCTCACTTTTATTCCTAGTGGAGCAAATTAACATCTACCAGCACCCACTTTCTACCCCTGACAGAGGCATGACAGGAGCTTCATACCGTCTAGTCTGGCAGCTCTAAGGAGTCTTTAAAACTAGAGGAGCATGGGACTGGAAAGGAAAGAAAGAAGCATCCACCTCAGCCCTTCCAGAAAGGAAAAGAAAAAAAGAGACAACACTGAATGTCAGTAAAGCAAAAGGATTTTGTTTAAGAGAGACAAGTCTCCTTCCCAGCTGTTCAAACATACATATGTGTCTCTGCAGGTCAGAAATGAAACCCAAACATGCAACAATGGACCACATGCTGGTACTTCACTGTAGAAGCCTGACAGAGTTGTGTGAAGAGACAAGCTGCTTGGGGGCAGGAGGAGCAGAGCTACAGACTAGCTAGACAGGCTCTTCTAATGAGCCCTCCAACATTTTCATGTCTCCTACAGTACGGAACAAATTGAATTCCATGCCGATTTTAAATTTTGTCTTTATTTTGCTGGCCAGACCTTCCAGACATAACACAAGTGCTGCATTTATGTTGGTTTCCAGTCAAACCATAAAGAAGATAGAATAGGCAAATACAACTGTCTTCCTCCAGCACTATTCTTATGAATGTCAAGAGATATTTTTTAGGAACTAATATGAAGAAGTCATATTAGCCAGCACTCAACAGCAGAAATTGTCAGAGAAGAAAATCTGTACGAGTTCAAGTGTGGTAGGTGACATGCCAACAGACTGTTTCTTGAGGGAAGGGGGAGCATGTGCAGCTGAGGATAAGAGAATGGAAAGGAAGGCCACCCAAGGAAACGTCAGTCCTGTCTGCAGTGCAGTTTATGTGGCTCCACAAACAAAAAATCACCACTTGACATTAACAAAAGTCCCTGTATATCCTCACTAAAAAATAACAAGAGGTCTGCATGCTGTCCAGAGAGCTGCAGCAGGTCACTAAACGATGGTAACGCCACATGCTGAGTTGGCCCCCTGCAGTCAGAGATGCCCATGAGCTGACACATGAGATCTGGCGACTTAACTGCAGCAAGCCCGTCTACTTTGCATTTCTCAGCAGTGTTGGCAGCACACCTACTGATGGTCTCACCAGCTTTGTCTGAATATTCAAACAGTGAAGACCCCTCATACTGAGCTGTGACCAGCTGTCACATATGCCCTTTGAAGTATCAGCTGGGGTTTGACATTCTGTGCTGAAAAAGCCTCTACTATTCTGTGACATGGCCATCTCTGCAAAGTGTCCCAACATCTGATCTCTGCATTTCCTTGTACAGAGATGCCCAGATCCAGCACGGGAATCTCTTGCTGTGAATCACAGAGATTTCTCCCCACTGCCTGTATGGCGCAGAAAGCTATCAGGTTTACCAGACAAATTCTCCTTAAAACCTTTAGTGAAGTAGAGGCACTCAGCAGGGGGCTGAGAAGTGAGAAGTGAAGCAAGAATTAGTTCCCAAGAACTCTATCTCACACTCCCATTTTTTCTTTCACTTGAATACTGCTCTGGTGAGGTTTGTGACCTTCAAATTCAATTTCTCCAAAACCCATGAGGACTAAATGAACAGCTCTCCTTTATACAGGCAAAGCTAAAACACCTAAACAAAATGTGAATGAAGTTTATTGCAAACTGCTGGATCTCTTGAATGTTGATAATGTCACTTTCCTGGGAGGATTCTCACAGTTATCTTGTACTAGTTCATTTCTGATGCAGGATCTGTATACAAATAAGTAGCCATGGGAAGCCAGCAAGACAAGGTACCCAGTTGTCATATGTCTTTGTATCCCCTGAAAATAGTTTAAACATTCTCAAGTTAAAAGGTAAAAGCTGCTGAGATCCAGTTTTATCTAGAAATGGGCGGACACATGCCACGTTCCCTCCTCTAAGCTTAAATCAATTCCTTCAGGGCTCATAGGAAGTGCATTTTGTTCATTAGACAAACCAATAAAAAGTATGCTGCTGGCAAAAGTTGCAGATCTCTTTCCAGAGCAGCGTAAGGATAATGGAGACCACTGCAGCATGAACTTCTGCCAGCACAGACCTCCGTGCTGATCTGGAGACAGCTCTCTGAGGATAAGCTGTCCATTCCTGCTAGCAGGGCCTATCCTCGGCCTCTCTGCAGAAGCTGCCAATGAGGTAACCAATTAGTGTCATGTTTAAGCTGTATGATCTTTATTCACCTGTCTCTTTCTCTGCATACAGAGTCTAGCACAGCAGAGATACTCTGTCGAAGCCCCGAGGCATAGTTAAAACAGAATAGCATCGGTGTCACATCACGTGGCCCCAGTTTCATCAGAAGCTGGACTGAGACCAAGCTGATTTCACACAGGCCACTGCAGTCACCACAAGATAACTGCTGTTGGTTACTACCAAGCAGTGTCCTAACATAAGGCACATCATCATCCCCCCGCCAAGCTGAGGGGGTGCTTTACACCTGAGACCTTCAACAAGGGAGATATTAGCAAGTATACCTGGATTTGGAAATCCAACTCACCTGTCTCCTGGCTTAAACTCTCGTGAAATCTTGGTCTTCTTCTTCTTGTGCTTCCGCTTCAAGTTTTTGATGGAAAGAGGGATGCTCTTCTTGCGGCCAGTGCCGCTGCCACTCTGGGACGAGGCAGTGGAGCTAGCAGAAGAGGTGACAGAACTAGTGTCATCAGTGTCATCAGCTGCCTCATCATCAGCATCTTGCTCCATGGACTGAAGCCGGTAGTCAGATGAGCCTTCATCCTTGAGCAGAAAGGGAGGTTGCTGCTGTCGTGCTGCTGCTCCCCCTTTCTCCTTCCCTGTTTCTTCAGGCTGCTCCTCCTTTCTCTCCCCAGGACTTTGTGCACTGTTGGAAGTGTCATCCAGCTCACACTTTGATCCAGGCTTAAGATCTTCTGATTTTTGGTCAGCAGCTGCAGCAGACTCTTTGTCAGGGGCTTCACTAGTGCCCTGAGACTCCGGGGAGCATGACATGATCTTCACTATCTGCTTCTTCAGTAGCCGTCTCACCTAGAGAAAGTGAACCTGAGTCAGACAATATGTCTGTACACTCAGCAAGCTGCCATCCCACCTGGGGAATTCTACACAGAGGGAAATGGCACCCCGTGGGCCTACACACATTTCACCTGCACCAGAGTATTCTGCAAACCAGCGCCTTACCACTGCTCTACTCAGGAGCAGCACTGGACTAGTCCAGGGAAAGCAAGCTTTGCTCCTTAAGGCTATTTTAAGCATGTTCTGAACTTTTTGTTATGGAGAGTCACAAGAGGCTGCACAAGTTAATCTATGCAACAGATGCAGATATGCAGGGAGGTCACATCCACACTGATGATATCCTGTTATTCTAGGAACACCACTGCTCTACAGCCAGCACTTAAAACCATAGCATGACTCATCTGGCCTAGGAAGCAAAGACTTCTTTCATGTCTCACTGTAGCAAGGATGTAACTGAACAATTCAGCTCCATGAGAAACCTGAGGTCATGCTAATGAAAATGACATGTGTCTAACAGTACGCTGCCAGAGCACACCAGCTCTGACACAGCTTGACCCCTGCAAGGTGACACCTCTGTGTTCAAGGTCCTCTTCATGTTCTCTCGTGGCATTAGCTGCATCCTTCACCAAGTGCAGTCAGACTGCTGTACAAGGTGACTTTGCTGCTGGCAACAACAAGCCATTCCTCTTTACAACCACCACTTCAGGAGTCACATTTCAGACCACATGACTACCAGAAAGGTTTCTGCTTTAGAAGTCACAGCAACCAGAAATTCTTAGAGAAGTCAACTCCTCCCCTGACCCCTCAACTCACCTTTTTGGCAACTGATCCTTCACCCAGGACACAGTTCCTCTCAGGGCATTCACAGGTGATTTTTGCAGGTTCCACTTTGTCTGGGAACACATAGAGGCACCTTTCCCCAAGCTGCCTTTGGGCATGGTCGAAGCACCCCAGACGCTTTACCCTGGCAGAACAGGAGGATGGCCATGAACAAAGTGCAAAAGCAGTAACAGACACTAGCAGCAACTGGGCCCTTACACAAGGCTGGCATGATCTCATGCCAACAGCACTTCTCGTGGGGTGGCAGAAGCTAACACCACACCAAATCTTTTCCAGGCTCAGAATTCTAAAGGAGGACTAGGAATCAGACCAGGGACTGGGTGGGGACACAAAGGGTTTGGGTAGGACACCAGTCACTCACTCCTCTCCCTCTAGCTCCCCCTCCCAAAGACAGCTGCCGAGAGACATTTGAAGTTGGCATTGTTTTGGGTTTTTTTGCCATCATCTGAGAGCTGCTCTCCTCTAGCTTATGAACTCCAGGCAGGAATCACACTGCAATGTGCCATTACTCATCTGACTTTTCTGAATTTTGTCCAGCCCATTTTTGCAGCTGCAGCCTGCAGAGGGCACCAGCTGCTCCCTCAGCACCAGTCTATGTCCAGAGCAGGACATCTCAGCCGCCTACTGACACACAGTGAAAAGATGCAGCCTTGATGCAGATACAAGTGAAAGGACAAGGAAAGAGGCAAGCTGTTGACAGACACTGCTTTCCTCTATGTGCTTGTCAGCTGGAGAGTACCTGGAGAGGACTGGTGGGATTCTAGCCCCTGTGCTGGTAACTCTAGTGTCTGCTAAACTAATTTGGAAGTTATTTGGTCACATTTTTGAAGCTCTGGAATATACAGGCATACAACAAGGAGAAAAGCCCACTGGAAACAGCAGCATTGTGTCTAATCAGCTGGTAGGCATGTTTGCCAAAGCCTGTGCAGACCCTGGGTGCTGGGAGTGAAGAGGGGTTTTCAACTGATCTCACCTGGACAGGTTCTCCTGGCTGATTATTGATGGAGGAGGGCTCACACTGTCAGTACCTCCAGGACAGAAGCTTTTAGTGATCCAAGTAACCTTTAGTTCTACCACCTGTACCTACAATGTAAAAAGAGAAAAGGCAATTTAATTTCAGAGGCTTTCCTAGACCAGTGTCTAGGATCTGAACATTTACACACAGGAAAGCAGCAAACCTGTTTCTATCATTTAAGATGGCCAAGTGCAATTTCACCACATCCAGGATCACTACAGTGCTCCCACAGCATGGCTCTTGGCAACACTGAGGGCTTCTGTAGTTTTTAACTTTGAGACAGACAACATCTGGCCTGGTAAGGAAGCTACAGTACATGCAAATCAGCAGTCCAATGTCAGAGACATGCTAATGGACTTGGAGCTGCTCTCCCAGCAAAGAGTCAGCAACATTTCTCCCTTTTTGGGTAGTATACAACATTAAGTTTCAATAGAAGAGGTGCTGCTACTACCCTAATGATCAGCAGTACTGGCCTCGTAAGTGCACTGGCACACCATCACCTTACAGGGCACCGGCAGAGACCCTTGGGAGGAAAAAGCCAAACCATACTCAAAAGTTCTGTCAGTCCACAATGAGAAATTTGACACCTCAGAAGAACACAGCCACAGCGCATTTGCTCTTGGAAGGTTACCATGGCAAGCTGACTCTGCTCCAAAACGCCAGCCAGGGACTGTTCTGTGCAGAAGGTAGCCATGTGTCAGCTTGTCAGTCCTTACCTCTTCCACCACCACTCTGAACTTGCTCTTTGTACTCAGAACAGGCTTCACACCCGAGAGCCACTGCACACTGGAGAAGACTTTAGAAGGCCCAATGAGGACTTGCCCAGGATAAAAGCCATATGAATCATCAAAGAAGAGACCCTGTGGGGGAAAGGGAGGGAGGTGGAAAAAACAGCACAAAGGACTCATAAGATTTAAGATTCCAGCATTTTTCTTCTCTCATTCATGATCAGTAAGATTAACCATAAAGGTAAAGCCTACAAGTTGCCCATCTCCTAAAGCTTATTCCTTTCCTGAAGTCATCCCAGCAGTTCCTATAGCAACCTGGTCTGACACACATCCAAACAGGACTATGACTCAGTGAGGGAGAAGCAAAGGTACTTGCAAGAAACAAAAGATGCATATTTCCACACAATTGTTCTCAGTAACAGGGTAGCCAAGGTGGGCTGAGTCCTGGGCAAGGACATCCATCCCTTTTCCACATTCCAATTCAAGCACTTACAGCTTTCAGTCAGAGGATGCCTGCCTTTACTCTTTTGTCCATCAAATTACATTTGTAATTACTATTCCTGTCTTAGGTGAATTAGTTAATATGACTGTTCTCTGAAGACAAAACAGGACTGTAAACAACAACTGGTCTCTAGAGTTCTTTCCCACTGATATTTAGAGTGACTTGATGAACTGAAGATTCAGAATGTGGTGGCAGACAGAGCAGTTTGGAGTAGATAAAATACTGAGCACAAAACTGTATCAAGTCTTGTAATTTGTCAGAAAAGGTAAGAACAGTGCTACAAGATCTAAGTCAGGTAAGTATCTAACACAGCAATTCCGAGTACGGGATCAAGAGTAACACTGGAGATAACTCCAGTTATCTCCAAAGTTTCAGACCAAGCCACACTCTCCAGAGGACTAGGTACACTTTAAAGGCAGCTTGACTCAAAACAAAAGTATCTCAAAATTGGGTAACCAGAAGCTGGATGCTGCTACAACATCCATCATCCATTTAACAAGCAGAAAACATACTGCACAACCCAAAGTAGCAGAAACTAAGATACTGGAGACTATCTAGCAAGAGACCACTCCTGTACAGAACAGGACAACCATGGCAGCACATCCTAATTAAACTGATATTCCATTTACTCTTCAAAAAACAGACATCGAATTTTAACAGAAGTGCAGTTTGAGATCAAGGGGACCTTTGCTTTGAAGGCTGGGAAAGGTAAGTGCTGGCCGCATTGCTAATTCCTAAGAATTACATGCCATTCTCAGTCAGCTCCCAATCCGCTGCCGGGAGTGCAGCAAGACCCCACGGATGCTGTTTGGAAGAACAAGCAAACTACTGTCAGCCTTCGAAGGGGAGAGGTTAGATCCCATTATCACCCAGGGAACCCTGTTTTACCCAAAAGCTAGCAAAACCTTCCCCACCACATGACTGGAAAATACCAGTATGGTGGCAGGTCTCCATTCAGGGATGGACTACAATAATGAGAGTATTTTGCGTGATCTGGAAACGTGCAGAACACCTTTTAAACAATATGCCCTTTTTCCAGAGGGGAACAATTTTGAAAGCATTAAATAGAGTAAGAGCCTTTTCAAGCATGTACAGATATCATGAGCAGACAGTGAATTGCCTTGACATCAGCCATCTGACTGCATGTTACACAAGTTGTCTGCAAAGAAAGCAGTTGGATATACTAATTGTAATACCCTCCTCAAAACCTGCTCATTACTAATGTTACCTTTAAGCAACATCTTGTTACACACTTCAAGTGAAGATCTAGTGAAGTGTTTTTCAGCTCTGATGCATCGTTTAATTTTTAGGATTAATAAATGCCTGTATTTTTCCCCTCTCTCTCCCGCACAAAAAGCTTACAAAATTAAGTCGATCAAAAAGACTCTCAGAACCAGAAGCTCACCGAGTCACTGACGTGAGGACAAACGTCATACAGCTTGGCTCCATCTTCTGTGCTCATAGAACACCTGGAAAACAAACAAGAGGCACAGTTGCATTTCCAGAGCCATCCACCTCAAAGCAAACTGCACCAAACTGACTGACACTGCCTGAGTGGGTCTGTCCATATGCTCAGGAGTGTGTCACTGAGCCTTTAAGGTCCAGAGCAAAACTGGTTATAGACAAGCTATAAATGCACTGCCTCATATCTAAAGGTTCCATTCAGCATGTAAAAAAAAAAAAAGTAATATGCAGGGTTCTGCAAAGATTTGTCTGCTGCGAAGATCCCCTTTGTTATTCACACCAATGCTAGAACCTAAAGGCAATCTGGATATACTTGCTTCAGTAATAACTTCATTTCCAGAGTGAGTTCTGGTGGGATTTAAAATGATTCATTAGGAAGAGATTTTGAAAACAGTTCCCTCGCTTTATGTAGCTATGCATGAGCTGGTAACAGATAACCAGCAAGGTTTTAAATTGCACCAGTAACTGCAGGCGATACAGATAGAGAAGCGTAGCTATTTTTCACTCCCAGTTTAACATATGCGTAAGCCTTCCAGCCTGGGCTAACCGAATGCTGAAACAATCAAAATCAGACACATCCACCAATCATCTGTTATAGCTTTTGCATTACTTGCTTCTCAGATTCAGAACTGGCTGCAAGATTGTGGGGTTTTTTTGAAACATCAATGTCAACACTCAATTTACAAGACAGATGGGTCATTCCCCAGCTGCCAGGCCCATAAGCCTCTTGGCCCTCCACTGGTTCCTTCCTTCCCTTGCATCAATAAAAAAAAGTTTGTTGGACAACACAGGCCTCAGTAACAGAGTGAATGTAGTGAATTCATAAGGATTTAGCTCACAAGTAACTGTCCAACATGCACAAGGAACAGAATTAAGATCCTGCTGCTGGCTTTGCAGAAATAAGTTAACCAGCTATTTCTTTCAATATCTCTAACTAAATCTCTCTCTAGAGATATGACTTTGGATTATGTCTTTACTGAAAAAACATTCCCAATACAGTTACAAGTAACAGTGGAAAAAGCAAAACTGTTCAATCTTGGGCTGCTTTTTCATCTTTAGTAACACTAGCCTGCAAGTTTCTACACTTTCACAGACCTTTAAGGTAAGAATCCTCCCTACATCTCAGTGAAGTTAATCCCTCCTACTGAGAACAGGTCTCGAATAAGCATCCACCTTAAACAGCTACTTTTCCAGAGGAGAAGCACTGTTCAAAGACCAATGTCCTTGAGTTCTGGAGCACCGATCTGCTGGGATTGAAAAAAAATTGTCACCTTTCAGACTACAGCTTTTCCAGAGGGTGATAATGAATCTCAGTGTCAGAGAAAGATGTATTCTTACTCTACATCTGAAGATAACACAAGCAGATAACTTGTCAGTATGTGAATGAAGCCCAGTCTGTTTCTAGTTCTAAAATAGATCAGGATTGTGAAAGCCAAGGGGACAGTCTTCAACAGAAAGAAAAGTACCTGGCTCCATTGGAAAGCTTGAGGATGACCTGGTTCTTCAAATCATAGACCTTGCCCAGCCAGCAGTCATAGGCTATGTAGTCACCATACATGAAAGGCTATGAAGAAAACAGGAAGCAAAACCTTACCAATATTGTACTTTGAACCATCAAGTCAGTTCTCACACAATGCAGACTAGATAGGCATCTCAAAGGGATTTATGACAGCAACTGCAGATCTCACTAAACTGGAATTAATGTACACAGAGTTTGCTTGACAGTCAGCACAGCCTGGGTTCTCCAGTTACATCTCAGCCTTTCTCTGGGATTTTTTTCCTCAGATCTTAAGTCAAATGTCCTGTTCCATTCAAGAGGTGCTCTGCAAAGTAGAGGCATACTCACACTTGCCTTCAGTTAATATTAACAATTGATTTTTTAATCACTGAGATTATTTTTATTTTTAAATTATTAATTTATAATAATAAAAATATTACATTTTTAATCACTGAGATTATTATTAATTCTCCATCCCAGAGAAACTTGTATCCTGTTGCCTTTTCACAGGCTGTTTCTTTAGAAGGGTTGTGACACACTGCTCTTTACTCTCAAATTATTTTTTTTTCTCAGAGGAAAAAGAATGATAAAATCCTATCCTGCCTCATCTCTGGAAATCACACACCCACTCGAGAGGGAGAACCAGGTATGTTTCAGACCATTCCAGTGCAACAGAAAGATGCTTGACTCACCTCACCATTTTTATAGCCTATTTAAAAACAATACAGCAGCTCAAAAGCTCGTGCCACTGCCATGAGGCTGCCCCAGTCAGGTTGCTATACCAGCCCATCTCAGTGAAGTTTTCACACAATTTAATGTCAACCTAGCCCTTCAAAGTCAATTTGGTCTCAGCAATGTGATCAGAAACACAGAACAGATGGGAAGATGAGGCGATGCTGTATCATCTTCTTCCAGGGAGGATGCTTGCAGTAAGTTTAAAATAAAACCAAACTGCAGATGCATCTTGCACAGTATGATATGCATGTGTTACTTAAAAGTACAGCAGCATCCCTCCAAACCACCAAGCCCTGGCTCCCAAGTGTATTTTGGCTGCGTTCTCACCCAGATATGTTGCAGGTCTTTGCTGTTGACAGGGTAGAGGATGCAGTTGGTTCCTACCAGCTTCACAGCACACTCTATGTTGACATCAATTACAGTTCCACACTGGCTGTCCTGAAAATGCAGAAGAGAAAGGGTTTATCACCTAGGGAAGGTACTACATACACACATACATGCTCTGTGTACAAATCACAAGTGCAGAGATGAGGAAACTTTCAAGACTAAACTTCCTCTTATCCTTCACATCCTCATTCTGAAGGGGCATTTCACATGACCCTAAGACAACTCAGAAGGTGAGATCACTATTAAAGACCTGTAGTGTTTTCTTCCCAGTTAAAATCTGCAGTGGCTGCTAAAGCAATAGCCCAGACACTCCTGCATCTGACCAAATAAAACAACACTATGTCAGGTGTTCAGTCTTTGTTTTAAAATCTGCCTGTCTCCTTGGTCTACTCAACCAAGCAGATCTCCAACTCCATAGAACAATCCTGCAGGTACTGCCCTGAGTCAAAGGCAGGAGTAAATCATCAATCCCAGACAAGAGAATTCTTTAAAGCTATCTAACTTCTCACGTAAAGTTTGATTTTGTATTGTAGGACAATATGAATGGTCTTCACTTGCTGCCATGAAAAAAAAAATATGGCACCTTTAGTCAGATTTCAAGGTTTCAAGCAAGACAATTTTCAGTTGGTCCAATTATGAGATGGTTGTCATTCTCTCCCTTTTTAACAAAGTTTTTTGGTTTTTGTTTTTTTTTTAATCTTTTTTGTCCCCAAGAAAATAATGCATGCTGTCAAGAGCCTTCTGGGGATAGTTTGGCAGGGAGCACACAATATGTATGTTGCTCACACATATGGTGAAGGCCTGCAAGGAAGGGCTGCTAACCCAAACACTGTCAAATGCAGCAGCTGCCCTGGCCTCCTGACAGCTGGGACAATCGATACTCTTATTTATTAAAGACCACAAGTCCATTATAAAAGCTGACTGAGGGCCAGCATGACAAATGTCCTGGTATCAGCAACTTCTGAAGCTGTCCTTATCTCAAACATCAAGGTCTCTGCTCCAACAGGACTTGAACATAACACTCAAAGGGCTTATAGCCTGCAAGAAGCGGATTTGTTTGCTTAGTCCACTTATAAACATGCTGTTCTTTCGACCACATTAAATATTTATTTAAGGCTTTCAATTGGAGCCCTAGGCAGCCCTTTTGGGAGTTCAGGAGTTTTCTGGTCCTCAACTCATCCAGTCTCATCCTGGGGACAGGTAGTTAGAACAAAGAAAGACACCCTGCAGACACCCGCAGTCCAGGATAATTCCTGGACAGATTGCTCAGACCATTTGGCTGGCTTGCTTTCCACCTGCCTGCTGCAAATCCTCACATCACACAAACCCCGTGCTCCACAGTCCTCCTGGCTCCCAAGGAGGTGGCGGGAAGGAGAATGGGTCCTGCCCCACTCTTAGCTGTGCCAGCACTGCCAGGAGGGCTAGGAGAGCCAGGCTGGCAGAGCCTGAAGCAGTAGGGGCTCATTCCTTCCAGCTGCTCCATCTATCACTCTCATTTCTTTCTAGAAAGCCTGGGAAGCAAAAGAAGCCTTTCCCAGCTATAGTTTCATCATGACAGACAGCAAAGCTTAACATAGCTTGCAGCCTGCACAGGCTGCCAGAAAAGAGCCCAGCAGAGCTGTACCGTAACTCTCACCTGAACAGGGTTTGTCAGAACTACACCAGATTCACAACTATTGCTGCCAGCATGATTCAAGCCATAGGATGAACAAGGCCTGCTCAAAAGCGGCACCTGCCCAAATCTGCTGATTCTGCAGGTGAAAGCACAGCCACCTCCCATGTTTTTCCTACAGATTAAGCTAAATTTAATATGCCCGGTCCATCCCCTGTCCAGGCTTTGCAGTTCAGACCCTCTATTTTAGATTGCTTCGCAGAACAAAAACAACCTTCAAGAAACAAATTCCTTGCACTACACTGAACATTTCAGAGTTAATTTTTCCTTTATCAGTAGCCAACACAACAGCAGCTGAGACATAATACAATCCAACACCTGTGGTTTCTGTGGATCATCTTGTCTCTAGGCCTAGACCCCCTCTTTTATTGATGGTGAAAGAATAAAAGTAATAAAACCAGGACCGAGGCAACTGACATACACCCTTTGCCCATTCTCTAAGTGACTGTTTCCCCCAGAGAAGATGCCTGCACCACCCTACAAGCCTGCCTCCCATCTACCAGTTGGGTGCTATTAGTCACAGGTAAGGGCACCAGGTTTAGCTCAGCTATCTTCTCCTTCCAGTTGCAAAATGCCTGAGTGAGCAGAGAGCACTGTCTGTGGTCAAGAAGGCAGAGATCAATGTTGTGAGCTGCCCCAGAAGCTACAGGGCTGTTGAGTAACAGCTTTCTTCCCTCACCTGCCACTGAACTTTTATTATGAGTTTATTTATTTCACTGTCAATGAAACATTAGCCTGCAACAGGGGAGGCAGATTTGCAGGCTGAAGGGTTCTGCTGAATCACTCCGTGATATTATAGCAGTGCTCAGCAATGCAGTCCTGGAGCGAGAAGTCGCCAACTTGTCTCATCTTCCAGGGCAGGTCTACAGCCAGAGCACAGCTCCCCACCAGCCTGCTCCAATACAGCTGTCCCATCCTGTTCATTAGATGCTTCCAGTAAAGGAGGGGCCAAATGAAGTGACCTGGCATTTCACAGCTCTGTTAGAAAAATCAGTTCCCATCAACCCAGCTGGAAAAGGGAAGTGACTGATCTTTGTTAGAAGGGTTGATGGGTTCAAGTCCCATTCATACCAGATGAACTGCACTCCCCAGACTTTCTTCCTGCTTCTTCTGGTGCCCTGACAGAATGCACCACACTGGAGATACTGAATATTTAAGCAGTGAATTGATGGAGAAGTGACTCTCCTCCTTCCCCACAGACAAGGCTTTAAGGCAGACCAGCAAACTCCCACCTGAGACAACAGCAGCTCCGGAAGCACAGGCTACAACCCCATATCTTCTACCTCCCATCCTTCTACTCTCTCCCTCAACACTCTCTTCTAACAAGGAGATCTTTATACCACCCTCTTATTTCTCTATTTAAAAGGGACAGCATAGCTCAGCACCCTTTGAAGCAACAAAATCCAGGTGTCTGACAGATTACAGACCTACTTCTAATCTTTCCCCCAAATTAGCATATCACCTGGAAAAATGAACTCTGCCACTTTCACCACTTCTCATCCAGCTGGATTAGATTTACAGGCCTAACTGCATTCAGAGAAAATGATCTCATTTTATGCATTACCCCCTGAAGCAGTCTTTCCCCATGCTCTATGAGAAGCACATGAATTTGAGTCAGCTCTCTTCTCTTGAGGAACAGAGGATTTCAAGTCCTTCCCGCTCAAGGTTAAAAACAAGCCCTAAGAGAGTGTGGTGAATACAGAGTAAGTTCCACATTGTGCATTTTCCAGGCCAACTGGTGCAGGGCAACCATCCCACATCCTGAATTTGGCAGGCTGACACTTGCAGATTTTCTATTTTAAATGCTCATGTAATTTTCAGAATATATCTGATTAACAAGTGAAGGTTTTCTTTGGGATAGAAGGGGTTTGTTTCATTTACCACTGACATTTAAAACATACTTGAGGGTAAGGTAAAGCATAAGTCATCTTCATCAGAATTGCTATGTTTTTGAATAGACAGAAGAGACTGAGTTACACGCTCACCATTCCATCAATTAAAAAAAATGAAGTTATAAGCCACTAGTACAAATGATTAAGCAAAATCCAGTGTTCAAACATGCAAACAGACAATAAATGAGTGTGCAAAACAACTGCTGGGTAACACATCGACCAATACACATGCAGCAAGCCAGAGAAGCCAATTTCTGCTCAGATGAGTATGGAAATTGCTAACAAAGGCAACACATTCATGTTTGCCAAGAGGAGAACAACTTGCTGTCCTGAAAGCTTAAAATCACTTTAAGAAGCATTGGACAACAGCTGAGAGGCAGGACTCAAAGTACCCCTCTAAGAGAGAAGGATAAATACTACAGACTCCAGCTGTGCCAGGTACAACAGCATGAACAGCTGATATTTCGATCTGCTAGCTGGTCACTGTTTTGGATTGAAGCACTTTCATAAAGCTACAATTTTAGAAAGATATGTTGACTCCAAATTTCCATTTCAAACAATGATTAAGGAAATATTTTGTTTCAGCATTTTTCAAATTACCCTTCAAGTTATCCCTCCCTTCTCTTTGGAACATTCTGTGAGAATATGAGAAAGGCAATTATTTTTTAATTGACAAAAAATGCTTTATTTAAAAAAGCAGAACACCCAGGCCAGAGAATGGCCTTCCCCATCCCTGCACCAGGCTGCACACCATGTGGTGCAAATGCAGCAGTTAGTGGCCAGCTGCCTGCTTCATCACAACCTCAGTAGCCACATTGCTGGAAGGGAGTCAAGAGAAGATACAGGCATGCACATGGCAGGCCATATGGCTCGGGGTTATAGGTTAGGTGTGAGCAACAAGAAACTGCCAACTTAGCTAAGCTCCTAAAGAGACCACATCTCATCTGATAATCGATACTGAACAACATTCCCACTAATTTCCTATATAAAAAACAAATCCACATATCTCTGATAAGCAGAAATCCTGTACAAGCAGAACAAAGTGACTAGGACTTAAAATAATCCAGAAAGAGCAGAGGTAATGATTGCAGGCTGCTGATGGACCACCCGCTTGCTTTTTGTCAACCTGTGTCAGATGCTTCACCAGTATGAGGATTTGCTGTATTTCTGGGAGAAATTGGACAAGATGGTGCTCACTGTGGATTGAGAGGTCTCCCTGAAAATATTTCCTCCAAATTCTCTACCACAGCACACCAAAAGGCACACAGCAGTAATGTGATCTGCCTCCGCTCCAGTCTCCCTGTTAGGTCTGAGAGAGCAGGTCCGCACTCCTCATCTCTCAGAATGGACTGATTTAAAACTTAAAGGATGGCAGGACAGACAAGCTTCTTGTCTCATTATTTGACATTATCAGGCTTGCTTGCTCAGGAGACCTTTGCAGATATGCAACAGTAGAGAGGCAGCCTGATCAGCATTTCATTTTCAAAGGATGCAGCTAGGTCTATCAAACACACTAAAAATAGAACATGCTCAAAAGCATTACTGTTCGGTTCCATTCAGGCAATTTGGCAAGATTTAGAAATCCATGCAGCAGTACCACAATCAAAAAGGACAAAGGAAAAAGCACTTACACTGGAGCTCATATGTCTGACCACATCTCGAGGGACCACAGAACGATCTTCAAGCTTCAGCTAAGGGGGGAGAGAGACACACAGAATTTAGTGACCCCAAATGGTACTTAGTCAGAAATAACATAACAAAAACAAATGCACAGCATCCCAATCCTCCGGACTGAGAAGGTTTTCAGCAGAAGATGCTGAGCATTTCCATACACAGAGTTAATCCCCTCAGCACGTTCACAAAATCCAGCTGATAGATCTGAAACACAGCAACTAGACAATCTGTCCACAACCGTCCTAAGTCAGAAGACACATCAAAAAGGGTGCAGACATTCTGACTCATTCAAGTGTCCTCCTTTGCCTGCATCATGCATCATTTCCTACCCACATCTAGCCTATGGACTAGAGAAGACAGAATACACAGGAAGCAGCACAGCACACCACAGTTCTGTGTCTCATCCTGCATGCTTTTCACCCAATGATCTGTGGAAATCCTGTTTGGTCTGGAACATTTTAAGCAAGGTACTGTACAGTGAGAAGTCTTAGCTGGCAGGGGAATTGGTGCCAAATTCACTGCAGCAAGCATTTGCTTTGGGAAAAAAAAAGGAAAAGAAATGGCTGTCACTGCACTTAGTAGCCCCCAGGTTCATGCAGGTAACAAAACATCAAGAGCAGCATGGATGAAGTCAAAGCGCTGCTCATACTCCAGCTCCTTCTAAAGCACTTGCTGACTTGCTAGTGCTGGCAAAAGATGCTTTACATATTCTACATTAGTTCCACAGGCCACCAGGAGTCATTACTGTACGGGAAGGTATCACTTATGAACCTCCAGTGATTACTGGTCAGTTAACCCAGTGATGTCCTCCCAAAAGCAGTCCATTATGCTGCTTCAGTGATCTCAAGACTACTTGCAGGCTGTTTCGTTAAGTGATATCAACAAGCTCAAAACTGCAAAACGCAGTTGCCATCCAATACATTAATACACTACACGAGGGATAACATCCTAAGCATACTAACAGGGAGGCGACAAGACTGAGCTCCAATTTCAGGCTTGCTCAGCCTCACAGTAACTCAGTTAAGAATTCCTTCTGCTGAACAGGGAGAAGCCTCATCTGCATTTCAGTGGTCAGGAACATATTTGCATTGGTACATCATTCTGAGCCCTGCAAATACACTAATTACACAGCACATTTTGGGAAGCACCATGCAAACGCAGTTATCAGGGACAGAGCCTCTTTCACATCTCACTTTCAGAACCTGCCTCTCCACTACTGCTGCATTTGTGGCTTCTCCTTGTTGATCCCCAGCCCGAAATCCACTGTGCTTTGTCAGCATTTCATCCTAACCCACACCCTGGCTTAAAGCCTGCTTTACTAAATTAGACATAAATCTATAATCCAAGGACAGGATCCAGAATCAAACTGAAGTACCTGAGTATTTATTGCCTTCTTGACTGAGTGTTTCAGTAAGAGGAAGAGAGGCAGCCAGCTAGGCTTTTAGACCCAACTTCTGGAGTCAGAAATCCACTGGAGTGGGAAACCTGAAGCCTCCCACAGCCCATTTCCAGACTGTGGAAGCGTTTTCATTGCCTCCCACATCCCACCAGGGTATATAGACACACATCAATTTTTATACAGCTTGCTAAAATTATTTGTTAAAATAAGTACTGTATAGATAGCCTCTTAGCATACAGAACCAGGCAGCAACATTCACATTCCAGTAAGTACTCACACGTGAGTAGCAGTTTGGGTATTTTGACTAGAGTTCTCTTGCTGCAGAGCTCCAACTGCATAATGATACTTTCATTTCAACATGCATTAGGGCAATTTAATCTCTGACACATGGTGTTTAAATTAACACATTTCAACATTGAGCCATACTGCTCCGTTCTGTATTAAACTGTATCTGAAGAACCCATACTAACAAGATGATCCAGTGCTACCTGGCACAGCAATATTTGTGTGTTTGTCAGCTCTGGTAAATCATAAAAGTTGTAAAGGAATAGCTTTCCCATTCTGTGATCCTTCCTGAAGGATGTAATCACACAAATTCTTCCCAAAGCAAGGCATAAAACTTTCTCTGCAGGGGGGGCTACATTTAACCTACTTTCAGATCTCTTGATTTTTAAAGGCAGCACAACTATTTTCAGCTTCATGTGACAGACCCACCTGCCTCAGTTGCTAGGATAGCAAGCCAAGTAGTAGGCAGAACGCCAGCATCAACAATAAATACTCAGCAGGTCTGTCATCACACAAAAGACTGTCAAAACCCAGAAGAAACCCATCCAGGGGAAACCAGAATGGCTGTTGATGAACACATGACAGTTCAGTCATTCCTCCTCTCATCTGTTATACCCAGAGTGATGTGATCATCAGCCGAAGGTCAACCCCCTCACTCAGCAGTGATGGAACTCAATATTGGAGAAGCACTTTTAAAATAGGTACTTACAGCTCAGTTGCTATATTTACCTCTATGAAAGTCAGTATTAACATGACTAGTTTTATGTTCTAGTTATGCACCTTGATAATAGTCCCAAAAATGAGAAATACCAGTTCCTCAGATGCTCTCAGCTAGTCCTGCAGTCCCATATGCCAAGCTGGGCTCAAATGTAAGGCATGTTTTATGTTGCCTTTTATAAAAAAAAATAAATTCACATCTATGTACATTAAATAAGGGAAACCAGTGACACTCATCATTGCACACACATTTAACCCAGGCAAAAAGGGACATAGATTAGTGTACTAACTGCAGAAAGTGGCTAAATAGCTCTGGCACCCATATATTTCCTCCACTATTCAGGTGCTGTCTTGGTGCTCAGCACTGAATCAATGCCTGAGCTCCGCAGCAGAACTACTAGTCAACTACAGAACTAGCTGCAGTCTGGAGAACAGCTGATACTTCACCAGGTCTGATGATGCTCTCATACCGAAGCAGGAGGGATACAGAAATTTTCATTTTTGCATAGAGAACAAGGACCAACAGGAGCCTGTTCCCCTGCTCAGCTGAGTCACCTCAAAATGAAATAAGGTAGCCATCACAGCTCTCACCTGAAACTGGGCAGACTAGGAAAGAATGACACAGACCTTTCTGCTTAGCTGCTGATCTACTCCTTAAGCCTTGGTAGTTTATTGCTTGAAACCATTTGACTAATTTCTTTCTTATCACAAAGTTGTCATTTGAAGCAAAATCTTTGTGGTTTGTTTTTGTTTGTGTGGTTTTTTTGTTTGTTTAAATTAACTGCAGAGGTTGAAAGATACATCTGTGACAGTAAGCGGGATCCTCACTTTAGCAAGCAATTCAGCAGCTAGCTGTAAGCAGCCTTGGGCACGGGTGGGCTAAACTCACACTGTAACTCTCTGGGTTTAACCTCTCAACTCCATAAAACAAATGGGAGACATGGGTCCAATTTTCCTCTCCAACAGCTGCTACCTTCTGACAAGCGATCAAAATCAGAGCAATCTATTTTGATGATTTGGAGTAGCCACCAGTGCCAAGTATTGTGGCAGGTAAATAAGTAGCAATCACTTCTGAAGTTTAGTGACAAAAATAGAGGAGTTAGAGATTGATAGAGGGACAACTAGCCTTGGTTGATATGTATCCAAACAGACCCAGTACTGGAAATACTCAGCAGTGGCATAAAACCCTGGTCCCTATCTGCATATGTAAAAGCAGAGCTTAAATCTACTAATTAGCTGCTCAGGTTTGCTTGTAACATCATCAGTACCCAACATGGACAAAACCACCTCTAACACAGTCTAGAGCTACCAGTGTCATTCCCCCCACAATGCTTTATGAAGGGGAAAGACAATACATACACCCTTACTGCCAGCACATCTCTTCCTTTCCTTTTCCCATACAGTCTCTTTTTTGCATGGGGCAGGAGTCTTGATCTCTTACTTTAGGAGAAATAAAAGAAGGTAATTCTGCCTACAAATGGCAGCATTTGGTTTTGCTACTGCCACATTTCACTCTGACTGAACAATGTTGTCAAAGGAGATAATTATGAACAAACTGTCCCCAGCTCCAAACAACCCAAAAAAAAAAGCTTGGGAACAAGCTTAAATGCAGAAGGGAACCACAGCTTTAAAGGGTGAATGCATCTACATGTAGTCTCAAATACACTAGCATGCACCTTTTGCACAGGCTCCCTTACCAGCTTTCAGAGGAGCCAAGTACTCAATGGCTCTTGCAGGTTCAACCCATGCTTGGACACCAGGAAGGCCAGGACACCTTGTCACTATGATTCATCACTGCCTAAGGCTGAACTTCAGATCACAGTTCCTTAATCTTCAATACCATGACACAGACTTGGGAGCACACCTTTCACCTGGACCAGCCATGGTTTTATAACTGCATTTCTGCTCAGCTACTGGGCAGTAGAGAGTGCACCCTGGCTATGGACGATCACACCTGATGCAGTATAATGGTTTAAGTTCATATTGGCAAGCTTTATCAGTCAGTGCTATCTCATAACTGCAATGTCTGACCAATAAAGAATAAAATTTGCTCAGGGTGCTAGTGTGATCCCACAGCCTCTACCTCCAACACAATCACTGTGGTGAGAACATCAGTTTCTATTCCAGACACATTCCAGATTTTACCCTCCAAAACAAGAGCTCTGGGAATAAGCACATAAGGATGGAGGAGAAAAAGCAGCACACACCCACCCTCCCTTGGTAACTGCTTATAAAAATGGGAATACAAGGTACCACAAAAAAAGAGGAAAGCACAATCCTGGAGATGAAACTCTATACATTTACCTGAACTGTAGTATGATGGTTGAGATGTTGACATTCAACTAAGAGTCAGAAGTCAACTATTATGGAAGTTGCTTCTACCATCTGAATTAATGACTCTGACTCTGCTAGCAGTGGTCACCACCATGAGGGCAGGGAAGCCAGGCTTTGACCTGCACAGACCTGCTACTGCTATTTATTATGGGCTATTTCTCCATCTCACATGTCCCAGCACTTTTCTCATACATCTTGTGTAACTGATCTCATTTAAACCACTGTTTCCAGGCTCTCCTCCTACATTTGCAAACAAAAAAATAAAAACCAAGAATTACTTGCAATTTTATAAAGCATG